ATCAATTGGATCAGTTATATTTGTTTGTTATAATTGTTTCCAAGCTTTAGTAAATTAAACACTTAGATACTTCTCAAACAAAAAATAGAAATTTATTTCGAATTTAGGTGGTGATCGATATTTCATAAATAAACACACAGAGCTGAAATGTAAACATGGTATCAATTTAATCTACACTTCAGTTATATCGAATAACAGATGTCGATTTTTAGTTTCCGAATACAAACATTGATATTGTATCTAAAATAAAAAATTAATTGCAATGAAATCTGGACACATTATTTTTCATCAAACCACCATATGATCATGTCAGAATCTAAAGTCAAGAAAGGTACAAACATATAGTGTCATATGAATTAATATATCGTTTTTCGCTGTTCTGGGAAATGAGTAAGGAAAAAAGAAATAATTATCGAATAATTAAGTAGTTCCGAGTAAATTCGTTAAGAAACATGAATACCTTGTCATTTGTTCTCAAATGAATAACCAATAGTAGTAGTCTGTAAATTTCTGTCTCCTTATCATTTAACAGAAGTATTTTTATACAGTATACAGCTCAGACAAAAAAACTCCATGAAAATCATCTACCCGAGCTACAAATCTCCACCATCTCATAGTATATGGTTCTATAATTAACTTATTGTCTCATTTAATTAATATATGGTGAACTCGAAGTATTGTGTTTCTCATGCAGGTCTAATAATTAAATTAAATAAAGTCATTTATATGATCCGCAATTTTGAAGTGACGAAAATATTAGAGATTTTGTAACTTATAATTTTCATTTTGACGTCAATTAGACCGGACGACGTTATCGACGGGCTCACCACTTTAGTGTCCTGAGATCTAACTTCAGTTGGATCGTATGAATGATTATTGTCAAAATATACATCTTGTTTATCCTTGCATATAATTATCGACTTAACAGGATTAAATAAGCCAAATACGAGAATGGATTTTGAATATGTATATTTCATCCACTCATTATTAATTTGAACAGGCAATCAAAAAGACGAAACAAGGAGGGAAGAACGGAGAAGATTGAAGAAGGCAAGTAAGCCAACCGCTGTTTAAACAAGTGTTAATCAATATTTATGGTCACATAAAAATAAGTTACAGGCATGTGATGAATGGGATAAGAAGTGCACACGTACACGCTCATATAGAAACAGCCAAGGTTGGTAAGTGAATAATCAACAACGACAAAACCTGACTTAAGAACAATAGATAAATTTACCTGTCCAGAAGCTAGAATAAGTTATTTGGACCTAAAATAGCAACCAACACTGCAAATGTCTCCTGAGTAGATTGTCAAAATAAACTATCATTCTAGTCAAAATTGAGATGTTCGCCAAATTATTCAAGTCATTTATACACAAAAATAGCTCGAAAGGAGAATCAGTATGTATAGTTTGTACAGTTTTGATTAAATGTTGGTTCAAGGCAAAGCATTTGTTTCACCTATACACTTCCTAAATAAATGTCATAACACACGTAGCAAATTTATCATTTGGCAAATAGATAGAATTATTTTGTTTACTTCCAGAAAAGCTTCATGAATAGCGTTGCACTAAATGAAATCAACATTCAGACATTCCAAATCATTCAAGTGTATATTGAAAACTTTATAGTCTAAGGCTTTTAGTTAAAATGACAAGATGTATTTACCACTAGTCATTATATATATATATATATATATATATATATATATATATATATATATATATATATATATATATATATATATATATATATATATATAGTGTTAACTGAGTTATGGGATTTTCATACATTAAACTCAGTTTACAGATGTTTAAAAATCTGAAAGTGCAGGAAACTTCCCAATTTTTCTATTTTAGAGCAAATCTGTAAGACACATTTAATGATAAGTACTGGATGAAAGACTAAACATTCGAAAAATACTTGGTCGGAATCCAATGATTAGCTTCTTTCCAATTTTCAGTTTATTGAAAATAAAACACAACTATAATCATGTAACTATTACCATCAACATACCTTTATTTCAAGCATTATTGAAACTTCCAGTTATGGCTTCCTTCTAGGATTTCGGCAGACAATCCAGGAAGGAAAATTCTAACATTATTATGGGGTATTCTTAGTGTCTTTACAAATTAACTGAATTACAGCATAAATTGATAATGAGTATTGTATCTGATTAATGCATATTAATCATATTTTCGATGTTACTTGATGAAGAACATTCAACAACATGCTCTGAAGAAAAATTTGATACTAGTTGCAAATCGTCAGCAAGATAGGTAAACAATATTTAAACGATTAACTTTGCTGTATGGTTGAAATCCCTTGAACAGTTTTAAAGTCAAAATAATTTACACTTGGTTTTTTTTTGTATTAACATACTCTAGTACAGTGAATATGAATTTATTTATTGATAATCTAAGAAGTGACCAAAATTATGTTGGTTTTTTAAAAAATTTGTAATCCAGTTTACAAAATACAAAATCACTGAGATCCGGCTAAGGTTAACAGTAATACATTGATTTTACATAAATATTGTTACTCACAGAAAATTACATAAATTCGTTTAAGACTAAAAACAATGCTCATTTGAATCATGAGTAATTATATAATATCGAGGCAATCTGCACAAGATGCACATATGCCAGTAACAAACTGATCAATCGCCGTACTAAACATCAATGGGAAGATTCAAGCAAACAAAAACAAGTAAGTTTTAATTTCACCCCACTGTACAAGCAAGTGGCTATCAGGACTCAGTAGCTAAGTGGATAACGTGATGGCGTTTGAAGCGAACGGTACTGGGTTCGAGTTATAGAATGAACGTCAACTCTGAGATGCAGATACATTCAGCTGACCAGTCCCAAATAGAACGCAACGCGTGTCCTGGATTCCACCGCTAGCCACTATCCATCCTTGATTATAATGTATGGGTAATTATGTTGATAAATATTCAATTTACATCTATTTATACATAACTTATGCATAGAATAATAAACATTTTTGTAAATTATTATTATTTACAGAATTAATGTTCATAATCTGTTCAAATTAGATATAAATAAAACATATTTATTTATTATATGTAATCTTAGTTTACATTCACTAAACTTGTCTGCACTTTATTCATTCACCCAGGAATAAAAAATAAACAAAACGTTTTTTTCTAGAAACAAAACTGTTTATAATAAAATTTAATTTTATCTATTGATTTTTTAAAAATATTTTTTTAAAAAGGAAGTTTTATTAATTTTATACATTGATTTATAAAAAGTGCACAAATATTGACTTATTCAATTGATTTCTTTAAATTTCAAATTTTCAATTTGATCGAAAGTCCAATTACCATTTTTCTCATTTTATTGATTGTTTTCTTTTTTATCAATAATAACTAATCAGTATTGATTATTATTTGTTGGTATTCTGTGTAAAGTGACTTACTGAATGACTCAATGGTATTTTAGGAGAAATATAATGGCTTCTAATCCCAGTGAGAACATTGAATTTGAGATGAAAAATACATGCAGCCAAAGTGTCCTGAATTCCAATAAAAGGCATTAAGCGAATTTACTAACGAAATTCTGATGCTTTAAGTTACCAGTCAAAGTATATTTTAAAATATACCTTTTGAAATTTGTTTTACCAGATGAATCATAATTTGAATATCATAATGTTGTTATTTGTTGCAGCAAATAATTATCGAATAATAATTAAAATGAAGCACTTTTGGAATGAATTTGAGTTGCTTTCATTTCATTAATGTACGGTTTTAACTATTCATTAGGTTAATTCAGTTAAAAAAAGGGTTGTGCACAGTCTTCTGCACATATAGATCTAGTTTTTAGTCTAAATGACTACTGTTGCTGCTGTTTGAAGGATTTGGAGTCTAATTGACATAGGCAGGGAATTAACTATCAGATAAATTATCCAGAGTAGTTGACTTATGCTGGCACTATGAACAGTTTTGCTAAATGGGTTGTTATTGAGCTGTTTATTGTTCTGACTAAACATTTAACACTGTATATTCGTCATTCAGTATCAACAAATTTATCTTATATTACGAGCAGTAATCAACTAACATGCGATAATTTAAATGACATATTGGCCTTATTGATTCTAGTAAATAACTTCGGAACATGGAGAGAATTTATTAAAAATAACTTTCTTCGTTCAATTAATTTTCGTTGAATATCTTTACAAAATAAACAAAAGTGATGATTACCCCATAATAACAACGATCATATGCTCACTAGTGAATAATTTTGAAAAGTAATTCTAGGAGTTCGAAGGCCAGAAACCCTGACCAGTGGATTTCACTTATGGAAAATTTGCGAGAGTTACCGACCAATGAAATTGGAGAAGAGTTGGATAACTCCACAAGCTGATTGAAGTTAGATAATATTAATAACTGAGTTCCCGCTCAACGGTCTAAACGTCAAATGTTCACTGAGAATCCTAAAAAGTTCTGATTTTCATTACCTTTAGATCTGTGGATGCACAATAGTCAAGAATCCTATACTTGGATAAAACAGCTGCCCAAGACCTTGTAGTTTTTAATGGTAGTTTACCTAAAGTCATTCTATTATATAATCCGTAAACTTTAACAGTCTCCACAATCCCCTAGTGTAATAATAACTATTGACATTTACAGATATTAGCCAATTACCTTAACAAATAAATAACAAAAGCACAGACAGAGCCTTTTTTCAACAAATATACAACTTTACGCCTCATTGTTTTGTTTTGATTACGTGTTCCGACTTCATAATTTAGTTAATATGACAATGAATCCGCCAGTCGTCTAAATAGTTTCATACTATAGTTTTTTTTTAAATCTAGTATTTCTGAATTCTTTCTCTGAATCCTGCTTCGATTCACTTCATTAATTTAAGTCGATTACAAAAGACATGACATTTATTTGATTAAATTGTTTATCATCACAAAACAAAGCGTATAATAAAGTATGAACACTAAGAAAACACTCTTTGTATTTCACTTACTCGGTTCGTAACTCCATTGATTTAATGTATTATGTATTTCCGGTTTTTTTTACTTGATTCCATACATGTATTTATGTTGCTTTTTTTGGAATTGATCTTTTGATTAAATAATTTGAAATAATCTCCTGGATGAAAAATGTTTAACAGCTAATTACAGATTTTTCAAACGTAATATAAGTAGTTGAGTTTAATATGAGTTAACACTATAATATCGATTTTTAAAGTATCTAACTAAACATTATATACAGATATATACATACGTATATATCTGGGTACTAATTATACAGCATTGGCTCATGTCTTAATTGTATCATCCCATCAAGTCTTAGAGATAGAATAAATCTAGTAATACTGAAAAATCGTATGTTTGTTTAGAAAATGAAATTAAAAACCACTTGATTGTGATAATTTGCTTGAATTATAAATTTAATAAAAATTGTTCTTCAGATAATAAGAATAACCCATTGTGTCATTGAATTAAAATAGAATAAAATAATGAAAAACTTTCTTTCTAATGAAAAATTGTTCTAAAAGAAATTTATTTTCGTTTGAATTAATTCTAATGTTAAATCATCATAATAGAATTTCTCTGTTTGAAATTAATTAACCAATCAGAGTAATACAGTCTCTCTTCAATTTGATTGGATGAACACCAGCCTCCAATAAATAAACATTTACATAATTAACTTAATCTAGATGACATACTTCACTAAGACACGAAAATGTTGTATTGTCTATCATTGTGGATGATATTTTTTATGCATAGACTAATGATAGTTCATATTTTATTTATGAAACGGATAGTTTACACTGTCAAGTCAGTGTGGATGATATGTTATGACTGTTCGGTAAATATCTGGCATTATTAAATATAATTCAACTTCATAAGTTAAAAGATTTTTTTTATTTTGGGTCGGCATCTGGCTACGGATTTGTAATGAATCTGATACTATTTGCTTATATTGTGGGTAGGTGGAATATATTTAGCGATTTTTTAGATATTATCAGTATAGGGCTGTGGAGATTGTTAAGTTTAGATTGATATCATGAATGGATCAATGTTAGACCACCATTGAAAACCTAGAAGCTTTGGACGGCCGTTTCTTTATAGTATGGGACTTATCAGAAATGCGCATCAACTTTAACCTGAAGGATTATCTATAAGATTATTTGGTACATTACATTTAGCCACAAAATGAACAGAAAGTATCGGATGCGTTACAAAATTACGGCTGAATCACATCAGCTTCATTTTGTCAACATTAAACAGATCATTACATCAAGGTAAAAAATAGTAAACTCAAAATTGACTGACTACTCAGTAATAACTTAATTCATGTTTAGGTGGTCCTTTCTGTGCCAACTGAGTTCCACTGAACAATTTAAAAGCAGGAATATAGTCTAAACATCTCGACATTATGTGTACTATGTTAATATATTAGGTGGTTGTAAGTAGTTGATAAGCAACCTTGATCTGAGGTTACGTGCAAGTTTACACTAGGCAGAAGTGTTTTCCTGGAGTCTTAAGAGGATTAATGTTCCTTGTCAGATGAGGACTTACTTATCAGTCCTACAGGTTGTCGAAATGGCTCAGTGGTTACGTGTTAGACAGTGAACCCGAGTTACAAATGTCTAAATTTCACAGGAATCATAAGTTCCTTCATGAATGCATGCATACCGTGTTGATTAATTGCCACTAACACGAAACTCCAGTCGATGCTTTCTAGTCAACTACTTCTAACATATGTCATAAATTTTCTACCGTTTATTTGTTAATAAGATAATAAGGGAAAATTCTACAATATACCCAAATTCCATCTTTATACTTTGTTCAAATTTCTTCAAACAAGCAGTGGAAGTACATAAATACGTCATTTAATAATTTTTATTGAGATCTTGAACCGATCAATGTTAGAGCACCATTGGAAACATGGAAACACTAGATCGGGACTCCTTTGTAGTGCGTATCAACGATCCTGCACGTCGGGTTCGAAAAAGGGAACTTCGGTCTCTAGAGAACACTTAACCTCTTGACCACTTACCCAGCATCAAGCGATGTCAATGTCTAACACTAACCAATCCACGATATTGCCTAACCACCTTCCATTGTCTTCGGTGGGTAACTCAACGCTGTTGAACCTGATTGCTCACGGCTTATCACCAAAACTCTGAGAGTTACCGCTCGAAGCTAGTCGCCAATGAGCACATGATATATATATATGTTCACTGAAACAACGGTTTTCTTATCTATTCTGTATATCTAAGTTTATCTTGTAAGATTAGACTTCAGACATTTTAGCCCATATTACATTTAACGTGATACAGAAAACCACAAAAACTGTTCTCAAAATAACGTTGCATTTATTTGAATCTTACTTGTTTTACAGCTTAAAACACGTATCTAGATAATCATGTTGAGAATTGAATTTTATGTTTAAAACTCATATATTATATTTACAATTTCTGATAAATATTCAAGGTCATTCAAAGAAAGATATTGTTATTATAAACCAGGAAAAATGCATAAGTTCGATTTATAATTTATAAGGGTTAATATTTCAACGTTATTTGCCCTGGAAACTGTAATCAACCCCTTTTTTGCAGCTTACATCTATCCTTAGATGATTGCCTATAAATTTCCGTTTAGTTATGCATTTTATTAAATTCCCATAGTGGTTATGAGTATTGTTTAAAATGGGTGTTTCCATTTATTTCGGGCCTCTCAGCTGACGTTTGAACCTGCGTCTAAACCCAGTGTATTTCGCATGAAACGCACATGTTATCCGCCGAACTGATGAGTTCATATAAAGATTAGCTTGCCTGCCGAGTACGAATTTATTTTGTACTAAATTTCATCTTCCTGTTGATGTTAAAGCTTGCAACTAATCAATCTACGTCTTAAAACCATCACTGAGATGCATCCACTTCACAATAACGTGTTTCAGATAAAACGAAACATGAGGTTTGGATTGCACTGTTAGACACTGAAGAGTTTCACCAAAATGTTTAAAGCTTAATTTAGCGAATCCACTCAACTGAAGATTATTCTGCAGCTAAATGCAACTAATTTCCTGTCCATGAATATTTTTCATTACAATTGTTGAATTGAGATTGTTCTTTGAATCTACAATCCAAAGCGTCTTATTAGTTTATATATTATGTTTATTCCGATAAACACAATCATACAATCTACTATTGTTCCCTATACACCAAACACTGAACATTTTTCATCTCAGTATATTCAATTAATTGACCAAGAATCAAATCAATGACAGATACAATCAATATAAAGAAATAGACAATAAGAGGTCAAAATTCAACAATAAACAATCAAGATCGAGGTCGACAGGAAAAGCCGTGAGTCATATGTGGAGGACTTAGAAAATCTCACATTTACATAAAGTTCGCGTTGATGATGTTGTCCAGAGGAACAACTACATCTCCACTTTCAAACCATCCAGCTCAGAGTACAAAACTCCACTGAAAACGTATTTTTACTGTAGTACATTTCGAATGTAAATAAATGCTTTTCTTCCCACATTCAATTACTAATTTTGATTATGAAATAAACCAACCACTTAATGTAAAAAGAATTTTATTTTTGAAAAATTTCAATTCACTGCAAACTATATGAATTCATTAAAATTCAGCTTTGAATGAATGTAGACACTTCAGTCAGACAATATTATTAATGAAGTGAGTTAAATGACTTGATGAAAGATTTTACATACTTTATTATTAAAAATATAAAGAGTGAAAAACTCCCGTTATACTTATAAGTAGAGATGGATGATGTCAAACAGTGGAATCAGGGATGTGCATTTCGTCCCACTTGTGACTCGTCAACTGGATGTACCTGCATCCCAGAATCGATGTTCACTCAGGGACTCGAACCCATATATATTTTCATACATATATTGCACTGACAAATTTCGCCTAGATCAAAGTCGAGAAAGGTTTGTACTCTAAAGCAAATTCACTCGATAATTATTTTTAAAATATAGAGCCTTCTCGTACAAGTTAAGTTAAATATTTAGAGAATGGTAATAAGTGCTATGGAAACAATTTGACATTGTAAAAATTATAACAAGTCTATTAAAGAACATATTTTGTAGAACTATGAGATCGCAAAAATCTTAATGTCAAACTGTGTATACCTGCAAGTCAGAGGGTACATTGGCCTATCCTGAGTATCAAACAAATTGTTAACCTCCACTTCGAACCATCCCTCAGTTTGACAAATGAATAGACATTATCAAGAAAATTTTAAATAACTGTGCCTTGCTTTATTCAAAAAGCTTTGTAATGTCGTAGATATAACTACCATTTCATCCAGAAAACGAGCACATACATCGGTCAATATAACTTATTTGATGCCAGACCTTCATCGAAAGATTTTATAATACAGAAGTGTATTTCACTGGTTGATCTTATAAAGAAATATTTAAAAACCATGGAGCTTCACTTAAAATCAAGTAAATAGTTAAATCTATGAAATTGAGTTGTTGTACATGCTTGCAATAAATATCTATACGTCCCTTTGTAAGTAATTTCGAACACAAAGTGGTGTATCTCATGGTCTGTTTTAGTTGGTTTCCTCCAATAACTTTAGAAAATTGTAGTGGCTGGTGATATGTCAAACACGCATAGGTTATTTTAGCTTCTGTCCAGATCAATTTATTCATCCTTCTCAAGCTATATTTTGATATTGTCAGTTGTTCGCTCATTAACATTGACTGGTTTTCTGTGATCGTATGTGGTGTTAATTGCTAACCCTATTCATCACGTGTCTGTAACCTATTTTTGTCTGAATATAAATATTGAGTTATTCTTGGCCAAATCGAGTTGGCTGGTTTGCCTTCTCCACTGAGCGTCACTTTGTTTCATTTCACTTCGCGTTGCTTGCTTCGCTGCGCTTCCCTGATTGACTGTTCAGATCAATGATTGCATGAGATATGCGTATTCTGAATTCATTCTCGTATTTGGTTTATTTCAATCCATTATTATCTAACGCGAA